GAAAAAATGTCAAAAATTAGCGATTTTTAAATTTGTAATTTTTTTGGAGATTTCCCCCATTAACGTGGTTCAAGGAAAATTTTTTTTAAATTTTTGACTAAATACGATTTGTGATCTTTTGACGTATCGTTGAAAGAAATCCGTTTGGTGAGAGCTGATAAAAAAGGGGTAACAGACACAAAAAAAAAAAAAAANAGTAAAAAATTACTCGAAATCAGGTCTATATCAAAATTTAAATTAATAAATTAATTTTAATTTTGTTTTTTTGTTTATATCATTGACCAAAATATGATATAAAAGTTATTGTTTAAATTTCAAAAATATGATAGAAAATTGAAAAAAAATATAAAAACGCAATAGTACATCGAACTAAAAATTGTATAGTTATACAGTGTCTCAGACTTAACTCACAACGCTTTTATCACATTATAGTATTATCTTTTTGTTAATATTAATTTTAGCTTTGATGCAAAGCTGAGAAGATTTTAGCTTCGATGCGAAGCTGAAAAGGTTTTGGTTTTACTATGATGTGTTTTTTTTTTGTGTCTGTTACCACTTTTTCTCAGCTATCACCGAACGGATTTTTTTCAACGATACGTCAAAAGATCACAAATCGTATCTAGTCGAAGACATTACCCTTAAAAATTGAAAAAATTTCCCTCGTTCCCCGTAAATGGGGGAAATCTCCAAAAAAATTACAAATTTAAAATTGGCTAATTTTCGAAATTTTTTCAATTTTTTTTTCTTAAAACTGCATTATTTTTTCAAAAATTAACAAATAAATATAATTTTTTTTTTTATAGATGTTTGATGTCTTTACCTATCATTTGGTATATTTTTTTAATAAATCTAACTCTTTACCCGCCTACAGGGGGGTATTCAAAATAACAACTTTTTCACAAAAAATTAACTTTTTCAAATTAACTTTTGAAAGTGTTCCAGAAATACTGACACTTTTATATATATTTTAAATTAAAACTAATGTAATATAATTTATTATGAAAACAAAATATTTCGGACTTTACTTTGTCTTCACGGTGAAAATGGGTACCGTATGCTCTTTTTGTGTGAAAATTTTCGATTTTATATTTTACATTTTTAACTTTATTATGCTATAACTTTTTGAAAAATGTATAAATCAATACAATTTTTTCACGAGAAGTAGTATATAAATACTATCTTTCATTTGGCATACTGATTTTTTAAATCGGACCATTTCCCTTTTTATAGGACGGGGTTCAAAACATAAAAATGCATATAAAAAGTAGAACTTTTTCAACTTAATTTTTGAAAGTGTTCCGGAAATACTGACACTTTTATATATATATCTTAAATTAAAGCTTATGTAATATACTTAAATATTAAAAAAAAAAATTTTGTACTTTATTTTGTCTTCATGGTGAAAATAGCTACCGTATTAAAAAAAATGCTATTTTTGTATAAAAATTCTTGGTTTTGCATTTTATTTTATTATAAGGGGATTACACTGATTTTCATAAATATTATATCAATCTAATTGACATAGTATAAAAAGTTAAACATATTTAAATTTTTTGTTTTTTTGAAGTCGAGAAAAATAACTTTAAAATTTGCTAAACTAGCTATAAGGGGATTACACTGATTTTCATAAATATTATATCAATCTAATTGACATAGTATAAAAAGTTAAACATATTTAAATTTTTTGTTTTTTTGAAGTCGAGAAAAATAACTTTAAAATTTGCTAAACTAGCTATAAGGGGATTACACTGATTTTCATAAATATTATATCAATCTAATTGACATAGTATAAAAAGTTAAACATATTTAAATTTTTTGTTTTTTTGAAGTCGAGAAAAATAACTTTAAAATTTGCTAAACTAGCTATAAGGGGATTACACTGATTTTCATAAATATTATATCAATCTAATTGACATAGTATAAAAAGTTAAACATATTTAAATTTTTTGTTTTTTTGAAGTCGAGAAAAATAACTTTAAAATTTGCTAAACTAGCTATAAGGGGATTACACTGATTTTCATAAATATTATATCAATCTAATTGACATAGTATAAAAAGTTAAACATATTTAAATTTTTTGTTTTTTTGAAGTCGAGAAAAATAACTTTAAAATTTGCTAAACTAGCTATAAGGGGATTACACTGATTTTCATAAATATTATATCAATCTAATTGACATAGTATAAAAAGTTAAACATATTTAAATTTTTTGTTTTTTTGAAGTCGAGAAAAATAACTTTAAAATTTGCTAAACTAGCTAAATTTCCATTTTTATTAAGTGACGAATGAGACGTACGGTTTCTGAAACAGTAACACTTGGGTCTTTCATGCCTGTGACACTGAATTTTTTCTTAATTCTTTTTGAGTTTGAAAAAAATGTTTAAGTCACTTGATTTTTATCTCATTTAGATTCAATAACTTTAATAAATATCAAGGATCCCATTACTGTAGTCTCCTCTCGTGAAAAGAAATTCATATTAGTATTATTTTACTATGTGGTCTTTTTTTGGAGCTATCTTTTATTTTCTCAGCTCTCACTGGACCTACTTTTTTGACAAATTTTTTTTTGTTAAATTAAACACTATCTACAGATTTGCATCGAAACGTTTTTTATGATAGTGATTTTAATCACTTTCAGATATCATCTATACTGGACCCAACTATGCCACGACCCTACTGTGCCGCCACCCCACTGTGCTGGTTTTTTTTTTTTTATATGTAAATACTTATTTTTTAATAATAACTAATAATATTAAAACTTAGAAGTGATAGAAAAAGTTTAACTGCATATTTGTGAAAACATCGAGAAAAGTTGATTTAGAAAAGTACATTTTTGTTTCCGATGAAAGTTCCTTGTATTCCAATGTATAAAACTTATAACTTTATTATGAGTATCAATCATTTTTTATTAAAAAGTGTTGCGTCAAGCTCTTTAAATTTTTATACGCGTTAAAAGTAAAGAAACATACTACTACTTTATTATTTTTATAATATCTCCATAATAATTACAATACTAAATTATTGAGAATCAATTTCATACTAATTTTAATTACTAAAATTGTTATTTATTCATATATATATATATATCTACTAATTTCTTAAAATTAAACACTATTTACAGATTTGATAGTGGTTTTAATCACTGTAAGGTATCATCTATACTTGTCCAAAATATGCCACGCCCATACTCTGCCGTGACGCCACTGTGCTACCGGGTTTTTTTTTATATATCTGTCGCCACTTTTTTTTAATTCCTACAGAATCAATTTCTTTTAACAATATGTCAAAAAAAAACAAATCTTATTTAGTTGAAGAAATTGCATTAAAAAATTTAAAAAGATTCCAACGTTCCCTGTAAATAGGGGAAATCTCCAAAAAAATTACAATTTTTAAAATTAATAAATTTTGATAAATTTTTAGCTTCAATGCGAAGCTGAGAAGGTATTGGTTTTACTAAGATGTGTTAATTTTTTTTTTTTTTTTTTTTTCAGTTACCATTTTTCTCAGCTCTCACTAAACCGATTTCTTTCAATAATACGTCAAAAGATCACAAATCGTATCTAGTCAAAGACTTTACCATTAAAAATTGAAAAAATTTCCCTCGTTCCTCATAAATTGGAGAAATCTCCAAAAAAATTACAAATTTAAAAATCGCTAATTTTCGAAATTTTTTCAATTTTTTTTACTTAAAAGTGCCATAACTTTTTCAAAAATGAACATATCAATATAATTTTTTTTTATATAGATGTGTAATATCATATCCTTTCGTTTGGTATATTTTTTTCATAAATTTAAGCTTTAACCTGCCCACAAGAGGGGATTTAAAATGACAACTTTTTCAACTTAACTTTTGAAAATGTTCCGGAAGGTCTGACACTTTTATATATTTCTTAAATTAAAGCTAATGTAATTTACTTTATTATGCGAAAAAAAAATTTCGGACTTTATTTTATCTTCACGGTGAAAATGGCTACCGAATGCTATTATTGTGTGAAAATTCTCGATTTTATTTTTTACATTTTTAACTTTATAATGCTATGACATATTGAAAAGTGTTTGGATCAACATTATTTTTTTATGAGAAATAATATTTTGTAATAATCCCTTTTTCATTCTACATACTTTATCTTAATTAGGATATTAATAATGAACTAGCAGATAATGTATCTTTTGGAATAGTCCACCAATNACAGATCAAGTAGCTTTTGGAATTAGTCCACCAATGTTTTAAAATTAAACAGTATCTAAAGATTTGCATCGAAGCGTTTTTTTTTGATAGTGATTTTAATCACTGTCAGATATCATTATACTTGATCCATCTATACCACGTCACCACTGTGCCGCGACCCCCCTGTGCTGGGTTTTTTTNCGCGACCCCCCTGTGGTGGGTTTTTTTTATTTTAGACTGCCAAATTTTTTTAAAAATAAACAAATCAAAATAATTTTTTTTATATAAAAAACTTATGTATTTTCTTTCATTTCATATAATTTATTTGAAAACTTTTTATATGAAAACGAAAAAACAAAATGATAATTGGATTAAAAGTTTTAAGGGTTACCATTTAGGTCTAAGACACTCTGTATATTAACTGTATTTAAGTATAGTTAAATAAGTTTGATAAGAATGAATTTGATTAAAGTTATATATTTATTAAGTTTTTTGTACGAACTTTGTTTGCAAATATAGCATAAAATTAAATATATTAAAAACAGTAATTCTATTTTTTTAAATGTAATATGATATAACATTAATTCATGGTTATTATTGTTTGGATAATAAAAACTTATGAATATAATGGGGAAGTAGAATAAAAATTGATATTTCAAATTTTTAGACTTGAAACCCTTCTACCTAAGGTTTATTAACCTTATTATATTAACCTTATATTTACTAAAATTTATGTAAAATAATATATAAATATATTTTTATACACATAGATTTTGTAAATATAATCTGAAAAAAAAATTGTAGTACTAACACTGATCAAATGTTTTTTTTAGAACTTCATCGAAAAATTTCATCGAAAGCAATCTGTAGATGAAGATCAAGTAATTTTTTTTGTATATAGAATGTATTTTGCATGTCCTGGATTGTAATGGGCAAAGTTTTTTATTTTAATTCATTGTAAAAACTATTGTTAATTAAATAAATAGATAATTTATCTTGATAATCTAATAACATAAATAATAAATATAATTTTAACTAATTTGATATAGATGGCTAAATAATTTACATCTATTAAATACTAATAAGCCAATAATGTGAAACAAATGGCACAAATTTATTAAACTTACATCTGCGTTCTCTAAGCCAGACATCGTTAGACCATAACCCTGAAATTAAAAAAATTACATTAAATTGTAGTTTAAGTAATTACTTACCAATATTAAATTAAAACATTTAATAAATTATGAATTAAAAATTAAGAAATTAATTTTACAGGGATTGTTATCTCTAGTAGTTAGTAGAATGATAATACACTTTTAATAAGACATCCAAGAAATTTTTTCGATATCTCGATCAATAAAAAATTTTCAAGGATTTTCAAGGTCGTAGATCGATTTACTTAGTTAAATATGGAAAAAAAATCTAGTTCCCAATATACGCCATTTTTGATCAATTGAATTTAAACAAAAATATATCTTAAACATCATTCTCATTCTACGAAATATTAGACCCAATAATAATGACAAGAATTAATTCTTTAAATGTAAAATCATACATTCTTAAAATATCCTAACATAATGATTATAAATAATCATTTAAACCATAGCCAAACGTAAATTTTGAAGTTTCAGTATTAAAATTTAATGAAGTCTAACTTAAATTAAGCAGATTATTGAGGGTTTTTATCATATTTCATATAATTGAGAGAACTTTTTTTGAATTATGATGCTGATAAGTCTAAATTATACACAATTAGTAATTTTTTTTTATAATTTTAAGTTATATAAGATATTATAAATATAAAAAAGTGGAATACAGAATATTTCTTTTTATTTAATTTTATGTTAATACAACAATTTTGCAAATACTTAAATAATCATATATTTATTACTACATTATTCTATTGTTTTAAATAAATACATATTTCCAGGTACAACCAACTAGTCAATTTAACGAAATACCAATAGAACAGGTATATTATTAAATAATATTAATATTATGTAAGACATATGCATTATATAAAGATATTATTTTTGTTTATTATAATAAAATATTTATAAGATTTTATACGTAAAAAAGGTCACATCCTCTTTTTGCAACTATTAAAAATTTGTTCCGTTTCTTTTTTTACTAATAACTAAATGATAAATACTTATATAGCTACAAGCTTCTTAATACATTGAGTGAGTAGCTTGGATGCAGTTAGTACTCCATACACCATTTAATGTATTAAAATTATTTTAACATTATTATTAACTACTAATATTATATACTAAAAATTTTAATTTTTCAAAAATTGTTATCATTATATTTTGTAAGAAAATTTATAAAGCACAATTAACATGAAACATTGGAAAACTTAGAAAAAGAAAAAAATAATATTATTATTTTTCATCATTTAATATAAATAAATAATTATATCTTTTAACGTAATTAATGAATGAAAAATTGTAAAATTATTTATTTATCGATCGTAAAATGTAATTCTAGGATTCCAAATCAAAGAAGAAAGATATTTCATTAAACAAAAGACGTGTAATTATAAAAAAAATAATACTTATTGCCATTGTATTTTAACATAAAACATATTTATCTTTAATTATATAAATATAATATAATAAAACAAATTTATATTATATTGAAATTAAGATTGGTAACAATTTAAAATTATTTATTTATCGATCGTACATATGTGATTCTAGGATTCCAAATCAAAGAAGAAAGATATATCATTAAGCAAAATTCGTGTAATTATAAAAAAAATAATACTTTTTACGTTGTGATATAAACTAAAACAAATTTATGTCTCATTATATAAATATATTTAAACATAATTAAGTTATATTCAATTTATGATTGGAAATAATAATAAAATTATTTATTTATCGATCATACAAATGTAATTCTAGAATAACAAACCAAAAAAGAAAGACATAACATTAAGCAATGACAACGTAATTATAACAACATTTAAAAAAATTTATTTATTCTATTTTCAACACAACTTTTGCTTTATAACCATACATCATATCATAATTAATGATTAATTAATTACAATTGATTATTTGCAAAAAAACATAAAATGACATAGATAGTTTTTAATAAGTTAAAAGTAATTAATAAGGGAAATATATAGAATATGGTTGAAAATTTATCTACGACCTGTTTAGAACTACATTCACTTACTACTTCAAATATAACCTTGTGTTTTTGTTAAATAAATATACTTTTACAGGAACATGTTAATAATGAATATATTGATGAACGCATGGTACAGGTATGTTATCTAATAATATTAATATCATTCAGTCTAATTTTTAAGTGTTACGCAATAGGACAACATGTCTCTTGAACTGAACCGATAAAATGACGTCCATGTATAGTACATGAAACCTTAGAATAAAATAGATCATCATTTTTTTTTATGCTTTGTATCAATTAAGGGTGGTTCAACTTAAGAGTTAATTATTTAATCTTTTCAAAAATATTTAGACAATTATATTTATAATTTAATATAATTTAAAGATAGTTTAACAGGGTATTAAATAAGCATCATTATATGTTTTATTTGGTGTGCTTTTACAAGTTATATAATAAATCTGTCCCCTATAATTTTAATTTTATTTATTTGAAAATGTATTAATACCTCATTGTACTACTACCATAATTATAAACGTTTATTTACAAAACATTTTTTTAGAATAACGGTCAGCTCTACGTACCTGATATACCATTGCATCAAAATTACAGAACACCAGTAAATATATACTTTTAACTTTTAATAAAACACGTATCATTAATTTTTATAATATCCAATATAAGTTATATTGTTTTCAATAAGCTAAATATATAGAATATGGTTGAAAATTTATCTACGACCTGTTTAGAACTACATCCACTTAATACTTCAAATATAACCTTGTGTTTTTGTTAAATAAATATACTTTTACAGGAACATGTTAATAATGAATATATTGATGAACGCATGGTACAGGTATGTTATCTAATAATATTAATATCATTCAGTCTAATTTTTAAGTGTTACGCAATAGGACAACATGTCTCTTGAACTGAACCGATAAAATGACGTCCATGTATAGTACATGAAACCTTAGAATAAAATAGATCATCATTTTTTTTTATGCTTTGTATCAATTAAGGGTGGTTCAACTTAAGAGTTAATTATTTAATCTTTTCAAAAATATTTAGACAATTATATTTATAATTTAATATAATTTAAAGATAGTTTAACAGGGTATTAAATAAGCATCATTATATGTTTTATTTGGTGTGCTTTTACAAGTTATATAATAAATCTGTCCCCTATAATTTTAATTTTATTTATTTGAAAATGTATTAATACCTCATTGTACTACTACCATAATTATAAACGTTTATTTACAAAACATTTTTTTAGAATAACGGTCAGCTCTACGTACCTGATATACCATTGCATCAAAATTACAGAACACCAGTAAATATATACTTTTAACTTTTAATAAAACACGTATCATTAATTTTTATAATATCCAATATAAGTTATATTGGTTTCAATAAGCTAAATATATAGAATATGGTTGAAAATTTATCTACGACCTGTTTAGAATTAAATCTACTTAATTCTTCAAAAATACTATAAATGATTACCTTGAAGGCCATAACCTCCAAAATCGGCTTCCCCACTACTATGTGTAACATATTCGTTTGGGTTGGAAATTGAACGCGACCATATATAACTCGCAGCAACATGTACTCTCTGAAGAGATCCATCCGATGGTGTTGATGCTTCGCCAAAATGACCTGGCCTTTCGCTGTTAGTGGTTCTTCTACATCATTGAATTAAAAAGTGACAATAAGATAACATACATGTGCACTCTAGTGCGGTCAATTGTCTAACGGAAATTTCATATCCATAACTATTAGTCTTTTTGGAAGGGATCAATACCTATAAATAACTCAATTTTAAATATATTTATTATCTTTTGTCGCCTTGTCTAGCGGTCAGCGGCAAAACTTAATGAGTTTTTGACACAGCTGTGTCAGAAAAATGTTTATTTGTACATACTCTTCGCGATAAAATAAATAAATAGACAAAAAAATTATAAACGGTCTACCTATGAATTTGTAACGTTATACTTATATTCTTTAATTAACATTATCGTTTATAATATCATATAAAAGGTTATGTAAAAAATTGAAATTATTAATCAATTTATCTTTGGTTACACTTTAAAATTATTTATTTATCAATCGTACAAATGTAATTCTAGGATTCCAAACAAAAGAAGGAAGATATATCATTAACCCAAGAACTTGTAATTATAAAATTATTATTACTTATTGCTTTTGTGATATGAACATACAACATATTTTAAACAATTTTTATTTAAAATATTTTCAATTAAATTTTGTTTGATTGTCATAAAATATGATTAATTAATTTTATGTTGATTATTTGCAAAACCAAATAAAATAACATAATTTAAAAAGTTTTAATTTTATAAAAGATATGCGTTTATATGAATTTATAAAAATTAATAACATAATTATTATTTAATGGAGATTTCTTTTTTTTAATTTATGACATTGTTTTTATATATTTGGGATATAAACATACATTGCTTTTATAAAAAAAAATTAAATATAAGCCCTTTGTGCAAATATTTATTGTTTTAAATAAATATATAATTACAGGTACAATTTACTGATGATTTTTTTAATGTTGGCATTGAACAGGTATATTATTAAATAGTATTAATAATAATTAAGAAATTTGCATGATTTTAGTTAACATCTTATACAAAATAAAACACATCACGGTAATATGCCTTCTCATCTTTTCATCAAAAATAAAATATTATACTCAAAATATTATGAGAAAAAATTATGCAATTTTATAAGTAAAAAAGGCTAATATTTTTTTTTCGATAATCGACATCAAATTTTTCTGTACATTAAATCGATATTAAATTTAGGATAACTATTTATATATTTATGTAATTTAATACAAAGAGTGAATATACAGGGTGGCCCACCACTCACTGACAACTTAAATAACTTTTGATCCAGTTAATATTTTTAGTTGATTTTTTTTTTAAATAATAGTTATACGTTAGGTCTATAGCTATATCTCAATAATTAATTTTTTTACATTTTATTAAAAATATTAATTATTTTTAAATTTTAAATAAAATGTAAAAAAAAAATCTAAGATAGCTATTTTGTAGAGTAGAATTTAAGAAAAATTTTAGTAAAAAAATATCTTATTAATATTCAGTAGTAAATATTCTGTAGCGTTTTGAAGTTTGTNATTAATTAATTTTATGTTGATTATTTGCAAAACCAAATAAAATAACATAATTTAAAAAGTTTTAATTTTATAAAAGATATGCGTTTATATGAATTTATAAAAATTAATAACATAATTATTATTTAATGGAGATTTCTTTTTTTTAATTTATGACATTGTTTTTATATATTTGGGATATAAACATACATTGCTTTTATAAAAAAAAATTAAATATAAGCCCTTTGTGCAAATATTTATTGTTTTAAATAAATATATAATTACAGGTACAATTTACTGATGATTTTTTTAATGTTGGCATTGAACAGGTATATTATTAAATAGTATTAATAATAATTAAGAAATTTGCATAATTTTAGTTAACATCTTATACAAAATAAAACACATCACGGTAATATGCCTTCTCATCTTTTCATCAAAAATAAAATATTATACTCAAAATATTATGAGAAAAAATTATGCAATTTTATAAGTAAAAAAGGCTAATATTTTTTTTTCGATAATCGACATCAAATTTTTCTGTACATTAAATCGATATTAAATTTAGGATAACTATTTATATATTTATGTAATTTAATACAAAGAGTGAATATACAGGGTGGCCCACCACTCACTGACAACTTAAATAACTTTTGATCCAGTTAATATTTTTAGTTGATTTTTTTTTTAAATAATAGTTATACGTTAGGTCTATAGCTATATCTCAATAATTAATTTTTTTACATTTTATTAAAAATATTAATTATTTTTAAATTTTAAATAAAATGTAAAAAAAAAATCTAAGATAGCTATTTTGTAGAGTAGAATTTAAGAAAAATTTTAGTAAAAAAATATCTTATTAATATT